TGTTTCATAAACAAAGCATCTCCCTTTTATTAGAGACCTCACGTATTAATGGACCAAAGCATGTAGCCATGTGTATCCTCATCTGGCAAGACCTGGGGAGCTATACTCTTGGTCTCAGATCTCTTCCTATTTTCCCCTGCCTTGCAGTGATCTGTCTTTGAAATTATTAGTAAAGCTTGATTCTGGGTAATAGCTCTGATTTGTGTGATTCTGATTTGACATTAAGGTATGTACTTTTTCTGATGTTGAAATTAACATTGCCTTTTGATTTCCATTTTAAGGAAAGGTTGAAACTTGAACGTAACAAAGAATACAATCAGTTTCTCAGGGGTAAGGAAGAATCCAGTGAAAAGTTCAGACAGGTAGAAAAAAGTACTGAGGTAGGTTTTGCTTTTAAAGTAAATCTTTGATATTTTACTTGGTTTTTATGTAAATAATTGAAAACTAAGCAAATTAAACCAAACATATTGAAATAATAGTTTTAGAAATTATTCTATCTCATATTGCAGAATTTATCCTACCTTTTAAAATTTAGAACTTACCCTACCTTTTAAAATTTAACCTAAATGGGGAGATTTAATTTTAGAGATCAGTTTTATTAAGTGATTTTTCAAGTGTTGACAATTTCTAGCTATATATCTTTGTTCCAAATTTAAGACTGGTTGATGTTTCCAGGGCCAAAACATTTGCCACTTTCTGTATTCTTTTTATTGAGAAGGAATCTAATTTGAAATATTTTGAAGTAATATTTAACTGTCAAAATATGCCTAATATTTTCTGGGATAGTAATTTGTGCATTTAGGTTATCCTCTCTTTTTATAGTCATTTATTTATATTACTATTGCCTGCTGTGTATTGATATTTTAATAAGTTTTATTGAAAGATAAAAATTTCCTTGAAGTTTTTTTTTTTTTTTCTTCAAGAAAAGACCTTTCCTTTTCCTTTTCCATCCAGGCTGGAGTGCAGTGGCAAGATCATGGCTCACCACAGCCTTGACCTCCTGGTCTCAGGTGATCCTTCTGCCTCAGCCTCCCAAGTAGCTGGGACTACAGGCATAAGCCACTACTCTTGGCTAATTTTTTTCATTTTTGTAGAGATGAAGTCTCACTGTGTTGCCTAGACTGATCTCGAATGCCTGGGCTCAAACAATCTTCACACCTTGGCCTCCCAAAGTGCTGGGATTGCAAGTGTGAGCCACCCTACCTGGCCAAGAAAAGATATTTTTTATGTGTAATTAAACAAACATCAAAGCTGTTTGATAAATAGCTGGATGATAAATAGTCTAAGCATAATTTGAGGGTTTAATTACCTGTTAAGAGATAGTATCTTAAGATTTATTTATTTTTCCTTTTTTTAATTGAATAGCATAAGACTCAAAGAAATAAAAAACTTATTAGTCAAGTCAAGCGTGACTTAACTTCACAAATACAAACATCTTGTGAAAATTCAGAGGAACCTAGGAGAGATATCTTAACTCCTTCAGAGGCATATAAAGAACTTCTGAACCAAAGACGACTAGAGGAGGACAGATATCGACAACTTGATGATGAAATTGAATTAAGGAATAGAAGAATTACTAAAAAAGCTAATGAAGAAGTGGACATTTTCAGTACAAAACATCACAGGTTTGCAAGCAAGGCTGGCATTCCAGATAGAAGATTTCACAGATTTAATGAGGATCATATTTTTGATAGACAGCATTATAGACCAGACCAAGATCCTGAAGTAAGTGAAGAAATGGATGAAAGGTTTAGATATGAAAGTGATTTTGATAGAAGACTTTTGAGAGTGTATACAAATGACAGGTATTTACAACTTCATTCTTATTTTATTTATTTGCTTAATATTGTTGTTGTTACTTTTTATCATCATGGAGAAGTGGTTTCATTTGATTTACCGTATTTGATTAATACTAAGATACTATCAGTTTTAAGATGCACCATTATTTTATGTGTCACTGAAGGGTAAAAAGAAAATACTCAAGGTGGGGGCCTTGTTATAAAGTTGGAACACTGAAAGGCTGCACGCTTCATGTAAAAGTACATGA